CTCCTTCCCTCCCTCCCTTCTTCCATCCTTCTTCCTTTTTATTCACTTTGCCTTTTTAGACTCCGTGCAGGCCCCTTGGTCGTCATGTCATATTCCCTCCCCACCCCCGCCCATGACAGTCTCTAGCTGAGTGGCAATAGTTTGCTGTTTGAGGAACACAACAAATGATCTTATTTGAAGTTTCTAACCTTCCCCTTGCCTCCCCTCCAAAAAAAAACTGTATGAATTTAAAAACCTATTAACATATAAAGAATGAGAAAGGTCCTGGGGGGCCTCCTTGTCTCTACTGGCGATAAACACTGGAGGGACACTGTTCCCCACACACTGCAGGTACTGTGACATCTCATGGAGGCTGTTCTGGATCTGCTTCGGGCTTCTTTGGCACCTCCAGCTTCAACTGCCAGTCTGTCTTCCATTGTGCATAGGTATTTCTTAACCCTCTACTATCTGCCAGGCACTGTACAAGGCCTGAGTGACTGTTTCATAGCTCTAATGGCGTGCGGTAGGGAATCACACACATCATTTCACTTCCTGGAAGCCGGTACAGAAGAAAGGCTAAATTATCACACTGTCTCAACACATTATAAACATGTACATGAAACTAGAAATAACTGGTCTATTTAATAATAACAAGTCAAGCAAACATCCTGCTGTGGGAAAACAGTAGCAAGGGGCCAGATTATCTGACCAAAGCAGTTATTTTCTGGTCAAGAACTTACATTTTGAGAATTTATACTATTTTTTCACACCATGAGATCAGTAGTTATTAGTATTGGGAACTAAATGTATTGAATAAGAACTCTGTGATTTGAAAAGCTAACATTATATCTATCCTTTTGGCCATTACTCTGGTTTTAGTTTTTTTTGTTTTATGTACTGAGGACTGAACCCGGAGCCTCATGCACACTAGGTAAGTGGTGTAACCCTAAGCTACATTCCCAACACATTTTTAACTTTAAATTTTTGTGATAGGGTCTTGCTAAACTACCTAGACTACTAGCCTTAAAATCAACTCTGCAGCCCATGAAAGCCTTGAACTTGCAACCTTTCTGCTTAGCCCCTTAAGTAGCTGGAATTACAGGCCTGAACCACCAATGCTAATAGTGTTATTTTTATATAAATAATTTTGAAAAACAAATAATAAACAACAGAAAAACAATAGAAAAAAAAAAGAAACCTAAAGTTTAAGATGTAGTTAAACCTTCAAATTCAGGAGGGCAAATCAAATGAGGAAATATTAAATTCTTTGAGATCCAAACTGGTCATAAGGAAAAATGTGTTAAGCACATTATGGCAAATTACCTATCTCTGACTCTATAAAAGAGACATCAAGAGAAAATAACTTAGGATAAGGAAAAACATCATGAATTTTTAGGATAATTAAAAAATAGTATAAGCTATTAAGAGACACTATGAAATCTTTTAAAAGGGGATTTCACTAGTTACTAAGTAGTTCCAATGTTTAAAGCATTATTAAGCAAAATACAATATAGATTAATTCAAATTCATCTGGAGCTGACTTATGTAACCTAAGGAGTGATTCCGTTTAAGAGGAGGGAGTGGAAAATGATGATGATGAGGATGAGGAGGAGGAGGAGGAGGAGGAGGAGGAGGAGGAGAAGGATGTCGACAACGACAGCAATAATAGTGTTAAGCAATAACAGCCAACATTTGGTCACTGGTTCCTGTATGACACACACACAGTACTGAGGAGTTTTTTGAGACAGGGTCTCCCCGTAGCCCCAGCTGTCCTGGACTGGAACTTGCTATATAGACCAAGCTGACCTCGATCTCATTAGAGATCCGCCTGCTTCTGGCTCCCAAGTACTAGGATTAAAGATGGGCACCACCATGCCCAGCAAGTATGGGAATGACTTAATCTTCACAGCAGTTTGTCAGGAAGTAGGTGGGGCTTTTATTGTTCTCTCTTTTTTTTTTTTTTGTCTTTTTGAGACAGGGTCTCCCTTTAGCTGTCCTGGAACTCACTATGTAGACCAGGCTGGCCTTGAACTCACAGAGATCCACCTGCTTCTGCCTCCCGAGTGCTGGGATTAAAGGGGTGCACTACCACGCCCGGCTTATTGTTCCCATTTTACAGCCGAAGATATGGGTATACTGTTCACCCACCCATCAGAACTAGGAAACCTTGAGTCGAGATGGCGGTAACAAATAAGCAGAAAATTTGTCTTCTCTATAGCTTTTCTTTGTCTGGATAAGTATTTCAGTTCAATGAAGTATGTAATGTGCATATTCACTTTCTTTCCTCAAAGACAAAATGAAGGCTGGTAAGCAGCGATCTGCCAACTACTCACAAACAATTACCCAGATTAGAAAGTTTATATCCTGAGTCACCATTTCAGATCAAACCATCCACTTACCAACTAGAAAGGTTTAGTCTGTAAAGCTAGAAATTGCTGCAAGCTAACCAAACTGCCAAGAAAAAGAAAGAGGCCATGTGTTCTCTATTAACATAAAACCCATGGCTGTAATCTTCCATTTCCTCTTGCTTATACCTGAAGCATTCTCTGGCAGGGGCCAACAGACAAACAAAATAGGAATGTGGTTGCTTTTCCATTTTGTTTGGGTGTTTTTTGTTTGTGGGAATGTGTATATTTGTGTGGGCACGTGTACGTGTACAAAGGCCACACGACAACCTCAGGCATCACTCCTCGGGAGCCCTCCACCTTGCTTTTTGAGACAGGTTCTTTCACTTGGACCTGGTGCTCGCTGATTAGGATAGGCCGACTCGCCAGCAAGCCCTAGGGATCTACCTGTCTCTGCCTTTAGAGAGGTGGGATTGCAAGTGGGCGTCACCTTGCCTAGCTTTTTATCTAGGTGAAGAAACTAGAACTCGGGTCTTCATGTTTGCACAGTAAACACTTTATCAAGTGAGTTATGTCCATAGTCTTTCCCTGGGCTCAGAGGTTAAGAGCACTGACTGCTCTTGCAGAGGACCCAGGTTCGATTCCCAGCACCCACATGGCCACTATGTTCCATCCTTAACTCCGGTTCCAAGGGAATCCAAAGCCCTCTTCTGATCTCCGTGGCATTGCATGACACAGGTGCACTCACATACATGCAGGCAATTACATTCATACACATAAAATAAAAATAATAAATAAAATATTTAAAATCCAGCATTCAGAAACATCAAACAACACTAAAGTTTCAGATGGCATTTGTAGAGGGAGAAATATCAGTACATTGAAAGATGTATGTATGGGCTAGAGAGATGACTCAGTGACTAAGAGCACTGGCTGCTCTTACAGAGGACCCAGGTTCGAATCCCATCATCCACATGGCAGCTAACAACCATCTGTAACTCCAGTTTCAGATGATCTGACCTCTTCTGGCCTCCATGGGCACTGCACAACACATGGAGACACTTACATACACACATACACACACACACACACACACACACACACACAGGCATAACACTCATACACATTAAATAAATTAATAAAAAAGTTAAAAATTAAAAAAGATGCATGCATGCATATGTGGGTATGCTTGTGCGCATACCCACATATGCGTAATTTAAAATATCCTAGAATAAAATTTAGGATAGCCTAGATATCCTAAAACAAAATGTCTGAAGCCAAACAACTGCTAGATCAAGATGCAGGAATCACACAAATTCATGTAGATGCTTAAAACAGAAGATCATGCAAATGTTATGTGTACTGAGGAGAGACACCATCTCACAAATAATGCTAGTAAGCTATAAATCACTATAGA